ACTAACTAGGAACTCATCTCCAACATGAAGTATGTTATAAGCAACTTTATATCTAGCTGGCCTAAGATCAGTATTTTCTCTTATATATGTGGGTTCTAGATCATCAAGTTCAATGTTGCTAATATCAGCAATAAGATTATCTATTCCTAGGTCATCAGTATCCTCACTAACACTTGAGAGAGTTGAGAGACAAACTTTCTCTCTTGCTTGCTGAGCTGTTAACCAATCAATATGCATTCCACGATAGTTAACAAGTCCCATTTCAGCAAATGTGTGTTGTTGCCTTTCTCTTGAAACAACAGGCCAGAAAGAATTTTTCTGACTAGGAACAATAGTGATGTTTGTGATATCTCTTCTCAGAACAACTTCAGATTCAAGAGGACCACTACTGGTAGCATATGTAAGAAGAAGAGTTGGGTGTCCATTAAATGTAAGATTAGAAACAACAGTCATCATATCTTCATTCTCTTTCAACTTTTTAGCTATTCCTTGTTTCTTCTTAGTTGTCCTATTGAACCAATGGCAATAAGCAAGAGCATATTCTTTATGAAAGTAAATACACAATGTATGTTTGTTATGAATCTGATCAACTAGTGGGGGTCATTCCTGGACTTGTAAATTTTAGTTATTTGCAATTTTGTTAGATAGATATTTGAATAATCGTTTTCAGAACTATTTTTTGCTACTAATTATTTTTTCTATAGTTATTATTTGTTATTGTGTCCAGAATGTTTTTGTGTGTATAATTGATTTTAAAAATACAAATATTTTTTTTGCCATTTCACCCAAACCGCCATCGGCATCTTGGAAAAGTTTCAGTGAACATAATTTCCTTGTGGTTGCTTAGCCACATCTATTGAGATATTGACTTTTGTTGCCCAATGATAATTAACCCCAAATATGCAAAGTTTTTCTTTCTGGTTGAAATTATGTTCACTGAAACTTTTCCAAGATGCCGATGGCGGTTTGGGTGAAATTTTTATTTCACTGAAATTGCTAATAGTTCCAGCATGCATAAATAGTTAATGGGCAGATAAGTATCTCTGTATAACCCCCTTATTGAAGATATTTCTATCATTGAGTAAAGTTTGTAAAAAATTCCTATTTTAAAAGTTGCTTATGACATGTCTACATAGAAGTTCATTGACTCATCAATTTTAGCTTGAATCAGTCTATCTTGTAGTTCTCTCATTGAAGCTTCTAGTTCTACTTTTTGTGGTAAAGTACTTCCAACTTCAGCATGAGTTGATCTCTCCTGGTTGTTGCTTGGGTAGTCAAAGTTAGATAGAACCCAAAGTGTGTGGTGATGTTCAATAGGAACTTTACTAGCTGCTAGGATCTTCTTCATATTGTAGAGTAAGCAACAGAGTTTAAACTGCACATTGTACACAGTTGTGTTTCTAATTCTTACAACTTCTCTATTTGATAGTCTCTTAAATGTGTTACCTAGTTCTCCAAATGTGCTCTCAACCATTGATCTAAATGACCCAAGTTTGCTATTATATTCTAACTCTGCCTCACTTAAGTTGGTTCCTCTTGGCTTTCTAACTGGTAAGCAAAAGTTATGCATTCCAAAATTCTCATTCTCTTCTGCTTCTGTTAACTCCTCCAGAATACTTTGAGGATAACCACCATCTAAAATAACACAATCTACTGGAGAGATGTATTTCAATAGTGACATGTTCTTAATCATCTTAGAATCTGGGTGGTCTTTACACTCCTCAGTTGGTGAAACAAGGACAACCATTCCATTCAAATCAATACAAACTTGTGTTCTATATCCTGACTTCTTCAACTTGAAGGAATAAAGATTTGGTTTGTATGCACCATTATGTAGTGCTCGTGAGTCATGTCCATCTAACATAAGAGTTATATGCTTAAAGTTTGTTGGATTCTGAATCTTTGCTGAGATCACTCTTAGTTCTGGAGTAGAGAACATTGTGTGCAAGTAGTGTGAAAGCTTCTTGTTCAACTCACTTAACTCTGAGAGATAGAACATGTTATGAATTACCTGATAGCTGCTCTTAGGAATAAACCTCTCCATCTCATTGATTGATAGCCCAGCAACTAACTGGTATAAAATCAAGAGTCCTTTCTCAACATTTCTGTATGGACATGGATACTGCTTTCCACCAAATAGAACATTTAGGAAGAAGAACACAGGGATCATTCCAAGTTGCTTCACAAGTGTATCTTTGATGAGCTTTATTTCTTTCACTTCATGAGCTTCACTCCTATAGTACTTCTGTTGTTTATGTACTAACCAATCTTCATCAAGAAATCTCCACTTTGTTGTGTAGAGCACATTCCACTCCTTCTCTCTTAATTCTTGTAATTGATTGTCCATCTGTGTGAGGTAGTCATAAATAAAAATTTCAACTTTTATCAATTTTAGAAAATGGGATCATTCCAAAACTTCTTCAAGCAACACTTAGCTGAGATGTGTGAGGAAGAAAGAGATATGCTTACTCTGCTACTTATTCATGACTTTGATATGAGTGATGACTTAGCAATACAAGTGCATAATTGGATCCAACATATTGCTACTGATTGTGAGGTAAGGGTTGAACATGTGTATGATGTTTGTCAAACTTTCCATAGAGATATGGAGAGAATGGTTGCATATACTATGTTTTTAAAATGGCTGCTACTCAACTGTGATTCTTCTATATCCCACACTTACAACTCTTAGATATATTTGTTGCTTTGATTCTCCTAACTGTTGAGAAATTGCTTTTCCAATAGAACTGTCAGCTGGTGTCCTAATAAGAGTTGGCTGTTTATCTCTCCCTTTAATATGAATATCAACATAGAAGTATGAATGCCCTCTGAAAGTATGGAGTGCATAATGTGTAACTATAAATTCATCATCTAACTGAAGAACATTGTAAGCAACTGTATACAAGGAAGGTTTCAGATCTGTATTCTCTTTGATAAATATATGTCTAGTTTCATCAAGTGTGATATTGTCTATTGCTGTTGTTAATGCATTGATGTTTTCCTCTTTTGCAGAATAATCAACCTCTGACATTTCTGATAAACATATCTTACTCTTTGCTTGCTTACTATCTATCCAACCAATATGCATTCCTTTGTAGTTAACTAATCCCATCTCTTCAAAAGTGTGATACTGCTTAGTTGTAGGATAAGTTGACCAGAAGGAGTTTCTCTGACTTGGAACAATAGTTATATTCTCATCAACTCTTCTAAGAACTTTTTCTGTTTCAAGACCACTCTCAAGTGAATCATATATTTGATAAAGTGTAGGTCTATTGTTGAATGAGAGATTAGCAACAACTACCATTGGATCATCATTCTTGTTTAGCTTCTTAATAATTCCTTGCTTCTTTGATGTGATAGAGTTAAACCAATGACAATATACTAGAGTATGCTGTTGTCTCACATAAATACAAACAGTATAACAACTACTAACTTTATCAACAAGTGCCATCCACTGCTTTTCATAAGAAGTTGCAAATGTTCTGCATTCATTCATAAACTGAACTGTGTTAAGAAGCAAGCTGCTATTCCATTCAAATGTTTGCATCTGAGAAGAATGTACAGTTAGTTCTATCCTAGTCAAACCAGAGTTTCTACAAGCATACAATGTTTCTCCAAAGTTGTGCAAAGTCGGCATTATAAATTCAGAAAGTTTTGAACTAAGAGGATTATGAACTTCACCACTCTCAATAAGCTGAATAAACTTATTGTAAATTTTGTTCTTAACTTTAACATCTCCTTTCTTTGTAAACCAGCTAATACAGTTAGAGCCAGACTTGCGTAAATCATCTACAACATCTTTCTTTTCAACTCCTCTTTCTAAAAGGTATTTATAGATAATATTTCTAGATGAGATATTCATACAATCCATTGTGATGTCATAATTCTGTAGATATATTTTGTGATCAGCCATAGTAGCAAACTTCACTGTTAACAAAGAACTAGCTATTGCAATATTTGGGGTAGATACTTTGTAAATAGCAACTGGACCATATTTTTCACTAATCTTGCTTCTAACATACTTATAACCAAAACCTTCTCCAAATACTTTATGCAATCTAACACTAGCTGACTTCTGCTTCACCTTTATATCTGATTCACTGCATTTCTCAACAACAACCTCAACAATGAATGAGTCAACAAATATTTCAGAAGAATGCTCAAATCCAAGTTGCTCTATACCTCTAGCAGTATACCTAGCATCAGCAACATCAGGCATATTTCTTCTTTCTGATAACACTCTTGATAGTAATGCTCTTAGTTCACTCTGGAAGGGGGTCATTCCTGGACTTGTAAATTTTAGTTATTTGCAATTTTGTTAGATAGATATTTGAATAATCGTTTTCAGAACTATTTTTTGCTACTAATTATTTTTTCTATAGTTATTATTTGTTATTGTGTCCAGAATGTTTTTGTGTGTATAATTGATTTTAAAAATACAAATATTTTTTTTGCCATTTCACCCAAACCGCCATCGGCATCTTGGAAAAGTTTCAGTGAACATAATTTCAACCAGAAAGAAAAACTTTGCATATTTGGGAGTTAATTATCATTGGGCCAACAAAAGTCAATATCTCAATAGATGTGGCTAAGCAACCACAAGGGAAATTATGTTCACTGAAACTTTTTCCAAGATGCCGATGGCGGTTTGGGTGAAATTTTTATTTCACTGAAATTGCTAATAGTTCCAGCATGCATAAATAGTTTAATGGGCAGATAAGTGTCTCTGTATAACCCCCAGTGCCATCCATTGCTTTTCATAAGATGTTGCAAATGTCCTACAATCACTAAGAAACTCCAGTGTACTAGCAATTAAGTTTGTGTTCCATTCTACTTCTTTCAACTCAGGAGAGTGAACAGTAAGCTCAAGCCTCATTAATCCTTCATTCCTACAAGCAACAAGTGTTTCACCAAATTGCTGAGAAGTTGGCATCACTAGCTCTGATAGCTTAGAAGTAAGTTGATTGCGAACCTCACCACTTTCTAGAAGTTGAACAAATTTATTGATACAACTTGTTCCTAATTCTTATTTCATCTTCATCAGTAAACCAGCTAATACAGTTTGCTCCAACTTTATCTTCATCATCAAGAATATCATTGCTACTGATTCCAGTATCAAGAAGAAATTCCTTAATCACAGCCCTAGAAGATATGTTTAGACAATCCATTGTAATATCATAGTTCAGAAGAAATACATGTTCCTGATGCATCCTAAGAAAGATATCAGTTAGTGCAGGATCAGCTATTGCAACATTTGGAGCAGATACTTTGTAAACAGAGACTTTACCATTTCTCACACTTACCATGCACTTCATATACTTAAATCTGTATCCATCACCAAAAACTCTATGCAATCTATCAAAAGGAGTAATATTGTTAATCTGATCTATAAGAGCATATGATTCAGGTATCTCAACAACACATGAATCCATAAAGATATCAGAATGCTGAATAAATCCTTGCTGTTCAATGCCATTACTAGTATATCTTGCATCAGATATATCAGGCATATTATCTCTATTCTTCAACTCAAGTCCCAAAAGGGAGTTAAGATGTACTCTTAAGGAGGCCATTCATAAATATAAAAGTTTAAAGAAACTAAATATCTGTTAACAGAATAACCAATTAACAAATAAGAAATCAATTACTAACAGTAGATAAATATTTTAAAAAACAGAATGTTTAGCAATGGCCAAAAAGATTCTAGCAACTAGATTAACAAACAAACAAAGATGCCAAATATGGTGCTTCTACGAAACCCCCTTCGGCATCCTGAAAAATTTCAGTTGATTTCTCGGGACGCAGCCTGTATCTCAGTAGAAGCATATTAATTGTGTATCAACTGAAATTTTTCAGGATGCCGAAGGGGGTTTCGTAGAAGCACCATATTTGGCATCAGAACAAGAAAACAATAAAAATATTAATAATTATTAAATAGCTAACCATTTCTGACTGATCTCCAATAAGTAAAAATACCAAAATAGGTGCTTCTACATAACCCCTATCAGCATCCTAAAAAATTTCAGTAGATATAAAGTTAATATGCTTCTACAGAGATAGAGGCTGGGTCATAAGAAATCAACTAAAATTTTTTAGGATACTGATAGGGGTTTTGTAGAAGCACTATAATCACAAATAACTAAGAAGGTTTAGAAGTTATAAATATCTTTTACATAGTTTAGTAACTGTGAATAGCCTCCAGTAGTAGAAAGGAGGGAAATGATAGTAATAATCAAAAACCCCAAAAAGACCATAGTCCCGAAGTATTGCATATTCTATTTTCTCACACCTATTCAGAAATTGGGAAGTAATTCGGATTCAAAGTTGGATCAGGTTCCTTAATTCAGGGGGTCTAGCTCAAATGGGAGAGCGCGCGCTTAGCATGCGCGAGGCACTGGGATCGATACCCAGGTCCTCCATTCTTTTGCCTATTTTTTGCTTTCTCTGTATTTGTTTGAGCGAAGATGCTAGCTCGGTTTGCAAAGCTGCTCAGAAAGTAGAGATTGTAAAGAATAGAGCGCCCATTTTATCCTCGATCTCAGCAGGAGTTGCGACGCGTATTTTGTAGCAGTTTCTATACTTCTATCATTCTAAGAAATTCTACTGGCTTACCTTATGAGATGAACCAAGCCATATCAAATGACTGTTGCTTGATGGTAGCAAGCTCCAGTATATGTGCCTTACTACTTTCCAGATCTAACCCTCCTCAGAGTACTACTTTTTTGTCTTCAGTTGGCAGATAGAATATGCCTCTAGTTTATAAGCAAGCTAGTCCTACCCCTCCTCACACCTTGATCATTTTTTCAACCATCCAATTTTCTAGATATGCTTTTCTAAGCTGATAGTCATAGGCATACTAACAGATATTAGTAAGGGATTTTTGGAGGTAGTTGTGAGGCTTTCTTCTAATCTGTATATATTAAGTAATGCATTATACAATCAACTCCATTTTTATACTAGCTACATAGGTAACTATGAACTGCCTTCAGCTCTTATCCATACTATGTAAGCTGTTCATTCATTCTTAAAATACTGGTGAAATTTCAAAGAAGGTAGAAAGGGCCTCCATGTATATAGTTCAGCAACTAGGGAGTTTCATGAGGAGAGCATTTCTGGGATTCATGAAACACAGTGTCCGTTTATTCACAGATTTGTGAGTAAAAATTATGTTAGACCAATCCAAAACGCTAATAGTGGTTGAGCACACTTCACAAATAGGAGGTTGCATTTCTCCGCATTCTCACTGGCTTCTCAAATGCAAACACATGGTAGCGGCTGAACAGCATTGAGGGATTACCGTGGCATGGGCCCCTTTGGTGAAAAAACAGTTCATGAACTGGTGTCAATCAGCGACTGATACCAATTTGTTAGATGATCAACATGACACTGGTCCAAAACGTAACAAAAAGGCAGCTTTCTGTTTGTGCAAGGAAACTGGAATCGCCAATACTGTGCCGTGTAGGCACTGTATGTGAGGTGTTAGAGCAGGAAAACCGAGGTGTATCAGGGTATCTTGAAAAAGCCCATGGTCGTTCAAAGTAATCGCTGTAGGTGTCGCAGACAAACGGACTTCAGATGTATTGAGGGGGGGGTTTTTTTTTTTTTGAGAAATGCTCGAAGCTCGAAGCTCGAAGCAAGGGATATATAAAAGAGCACAGCGAAGGCCACATATGAGAAGCAAACATTGCCAAGCAGCAGATAGTTCTTTTGTGTCCATTCCTCTCCGTTTTGCCGAACATCTTATCCACAAGTACACTTCGTTATCCGTTCACTAAAAGCTGTTTGCCACGGTACTCCTCGATCATGAACATCACCAACTTTACCGTTTCCATCACCACTGTTTTCACTGCGGCTGTTTCGTTGGCAGCAGCCCTTCCAGTTGCTGATACTGCCAGTGCTTCGCTGGGTATTGCTCCTGCTCTCGGATATGTTGCACCAAAGGCACTGGGCTTGGACAACCAGGCGCAGCGCCAGCATGATGCTGCCACAGGTCTCGATGTGCCAAGCACCCAGAACTACCCAGCCCATTGCGATCGCCAGGGCAGCGTTAATCCACGCGGATGGGACTATTTCAGTCAGCGCGATCGGCCGGTTTTGGCAGTTGCCAGATCGGACAAGCAAGCAGTCCGAGCTCGTGGCTGGGACTACTTTAGCCTGCGCGGCGAGTCCGGCAAAGAGCCAGCACTTGAAGAACCCTGCTGGAACTACCAGCTTTTTACGCAAGCGCGATTCAGTTTCAGATGGGTATCTGCAGCGCGGATGGGACTACTGGGCTCAGTAGCAATTTCGTTCACTCCTGCATTTTCTTCTAGACGCTCATTCTGGTTTATGAAATGAAATTTTTTAGATAGTCTGATAGGGTATGCAAGAGAAAATTGGTGCTATTTATTTTCGGAACCGGCGTAGTGGACGAGGATCATATGGTCCCAATAGGAGTTTTCGATCTTGAAGGTAGCACCGCACTGCTGGCAGACATAGTTGCCGTGGGCGTGGTAGAGACGCATGGCAGGGAAAACGAGCGATAGCATACGAGAGTTCACTTTTATTAAGTGGATTGTAGTGGAAAATATCGAGGGACTAGGGATGGCGGAGGTAGCTAGAAGGGCAGAGTCTGAGTTTTATAATGCAGAAATGGAGCATGGAAACATGGTATGAGGGTATTTTGAGAAAAAGGGGTGTTAACCTTCAGAGAGTCCAGTAGTTATGAGCTTTATGGAATGAATAAAATGGAAAATTTGCTGAGGAGAAAAAGGAGGATGGGGCCGTTCCGGCCCACAAAGTTTATACAGGTGGGGATTTGGATCTGCACATGGTGGCGGAGGGCATAGAGTTGCCCGAATGTCAACATCACCCCCTCCTAGATCTGAGCTTATAAGGTCTCTTCTGCTGGGTCGTCCTCTTCTGGCGGGCTTCCTTGGTTTCCTTCTGTGCTTTGTTATGTTCCTGCCAGTATTTCTGGATGACGTCAGTGCTGTCGAAGTTGCTGAATGGTTCCCAGGAGTCTTTCTCATCTTCGTCTGCCCAACGAACGTGGTACTCATACTCCCTGGCCTTGTTGAGTCTGTGGCCCAGGATCCTCTCGACTTCGAGGGAAGCTTCTTGGAATATCGGTCTGTCAGAGATAGGTATTAGCTCCGATCTGGTATAGTTTCGTGCAAGCTGTTGACCCTCCATGTCTCGTAGAACATAGCTGCCACCTTTCGTGATGGCTGTGATCAGGTACGGGCCTTGATTCGCTGGATCATGCTTACTTGAGCGATTATGCTGCCTGGTCATGACGTACGTGTCAATAGGGATGCTATTGGTCTTGTGCTTAGCACTGTGCTGTAACCGATAGGCCTCTGATACCTTGACCGTTGCGCGCTCAATAGCCGGGAATAGCGTGTCCTCCATGAATCGTCTTCGTTCTTCCTGTACTTCATCATCGAGGGGGCCAGCTGAGACAGCAGTGTGGTCCTCCCATGTGTTGGGTGCTCGACCAAACATTACTGCGAATGGGGCAGTGCGGTGACGGCGCACAATGTTACAGTTGATGCAGTATTGCGCAAAAGGAATGAACAGATCCCAGTCGTGGTATACGCCTTTGACCAACTTCATGATCATTAGTTTAGCCGTCTGGACTGTCCGTTCAGCAGTGCCATTTGCCTGTGGATGGTAGGGCGTGATTAGGCGGTGATCCACATGTGATTCTCTCAACATGGCTGTCATGACCTCATTAACGAATTCCCGTCCGTTATCGCTCTGTACGATGCGTGGAAAACCAAAATCAAAGAAGATCTTGATTAAGACCTTTGCCACTGCCGATGCAGTTTTGTCAGGTAAGGGTCGGAGGATGACGAAGCGTGAATGTATATCAGTCAGCACGAATAGGAAATGGTTCTGCTGGACAGATGTGGTGAATGGCCCAGCAAGATCAATTGAGATATGGTCGAAGGGTGTGCTGGCAAGTATCGGCGTGATGGGGTGGTATCCACGCCTAGATATGTTATATCGTAGGCATTGCATGCACCTGCTAGTTATGCCTTTGGCATCCTCTAGCATCTTCGGCCACTGGTAACCATTATCACGCAGTGTGCGTACCATTGATTCTGCACCATAGTGCCCGATGGCATGTTGCTTGGCCAGCAGCTCTTGCCGTAGTGCCTTTGGCGTATCTTCCTCAGAACTGTGGGTAGCCAATGGTAGGCGGCGTATGGTGAGAGTAGTGCGTTGCAAGGGTTGACTAGTACTGGTTCCCCCCCTTCCAGTATCAGATGGTGGGTATAGTCGTGAGAGGCTGTCAGGCAGAATATTGCGGAGACCTGGGCGGTGAACTATTTGGAAGTCGTGAGCAAAAATCTGCTCATACCAGCCAATCATCATCGGTGACAGGCGTGGCTGTGTGTGTAGGAAGGTGAGCGCCTTATGATCTGAGAATAACGTGAAGTGACGACCCCAGATGTAGGGGTAGAAGCGTGTGAGTGCGAATACTATGGCTAGTAGCTCACGTTTGGTAGCGGAGTAGTTGCGT